GTTTAGCAGTGGCATAAGCATTTCTGAATAGATAACCTAGTTTCTGCCGGTCAGCTGCCTTGATTGCTTGCAGAGCTCGGCCAGCCCTTGACATAGCAATATCATGTTGGCTGCTTGTAGCTGCCTTCCTTAATTCCATAGCTTTCACATAATATTTACTCTGCTCATGGTCAGTAATACTTGACTTCTTAAAGTTATTGCATCCTTTAATGAAATAATTCTGTTCTCTAAGCTTAAAGCTTGAACCTACAAACTTCCCATGATATCTTTTAACTTTTTTATTCTTTGATAACTCTTATCTTTTATCATATAACAGCCAATCTCTTTATAGTACTCTGAAGAGTGCTGCAGCAAAGAGTGAGAAGAGCGTCGGTGCCAAGATGCAGCCTTGTTTGACACCATTGTTGTACTTTATGTCGCGTGTTAGTTCACCATCGACAGATATCTTGACACACATGTCATCATGCAAACATTTAAGGATGTTGATAAATTTTGGAGGGCAGCCCATCTTTCCGATGATTGCCCACAGCGCTTCACGGTTGACCAGATCGAACGCCTTGGTGAAATCGACAAATGTCATTTACAAGTTCTGATTTTCTTCCCTTGATTTTTCCATGACCTGTCTCAGAGGAAAGATCATGTCTATTGTTCCGCGATTTCTTCGAAAGCCGCACTGTGATTTGGGGAGTACTTCCTCCGCAATTGGAATGCGTATTCTAAGCAGCTGGATTAGGGCGATGATCAATCTTCCCAGCCACTGCCAGCAAACGTATTCCAGGGTAGTTGTTGACATTATGCCGATCGTTCTTTTTGAAGATGGTGATAATGTTTGCGTTACGGAGTTCAGGTGGAATGTTTTCGTCCGTCCAAATTTTAACTATGATTTCCTGAAGATGCTTCGTCACTTCAGGCTCTCCGTACACGAAAACCTCTGGTGGTATACCATCAGGTCTGGCGCTTTTGTTACGTTTGATCAACCGGATTGCTTTCTCAACTTCTTCAATGGTAGGTACGTCACCTAGTGATTCAATCACTGTTCTCTGCGGTAGGCTGTTAATGACAGTTTCATCGTACGTGCTTGCCTGACTGAGAAGTTGTGTGAAGTGCTCGGTCCATCGTTCTTTTATGTCTTCTGGTGTCGTTAGAAGCTTTGTGTCGTCTAAGTTTAGCAGAGGGACAGACGTGCTTTTCTTTTGTCCATATATCGCTTTCAGTGATTGAAATAGAGCTTTAGTGTTTCCACTGTCCGCATGACGTTGCGTATCCTCAGCACGCTCTTGCCACCAGCTATCCTTCATTTCGCGCAACCTGTTCTTTACATTTTGTTTGGCGACTTCCAGCTTTTCACCTGTGCTGTCCTTACGAGCTTGCAGGAGTTCAGCGATTTCTTTATCATTGTCATCGAACCAGTCTTTATGGTTGCGATTTTGGTGACCAAGGATGGTTTCAGCAGAGTTCAGCAACGTTGATTTGAGATCGTCCCAATTTAACTCTTCGATGTCTTGCAGTTGAGCCTCGATGTGAGATCTAAGTGATGTTACAGTTTTTTCAGACTTGAGTTTAGAGACATCGAATTTCTTAGGAATTCTCTGTGCATTTCGGTATGCTGGCCTTTTGATCTTCAAGCGCACTTTTGAGAGCAAGAGACGATGATCAGTCCAGCAATCAGCCCCACGCATTACTCTCGTAATACAAAAGTCTGAGATGTCTCTTCCCTTCGTGATGATGTAATCAATGAGGTGCCAGTGACCTGATCGAGCATGTTTCCACGTGTTTTTAAGTTTATCTGGAAGTTGGAAATAGGTGTTGGTGATGGCCAGCTTATTCTCAGCACACAAAGAGAGAAGGAGATGTCCATTGCTGTTGGCATTGCCGACGCCATGATGACCAAGGACTGATGGCCAGGTGGTATAGTCGCGTCCAACTCTGGCGTTGAAATCTCTAAGAATGATGTACTTGTCACATTCTGGTATTGCTCTGATGATTGTGGATAGCTTCTCATAGAAGGCTTCTTTTGAGGCCACTGTGTGCTGCATCGTCGGTGCATAGACACTTATTAAATGGAGAGAGCGTCTTTTGCAGAGAGGAAGACGAAGCGGTATGATACGATCTGAGTAGCCGACTGGAAGCTCAGCGAGTTTGATGCTGGTTTTGATGGCAAAGCCAACACCTGATTCACGCTTCTCGGAAGAGG